CTGACTCATTGTATTTTTAATGTCTATTTTTGGGTTGTTATCAATCAAAATAAGATTCAAAGATTGGTCAAAGAAGGTTAATTACCTAGTGAGGCAGGGGAGCCTAAACCAAACTTGTGAACCCTGTTTTGAAGGATAGATAACTCTTAGGGCTTAATCAGCCAGATGAAATAGACATAAAGGACAATTGGAGTCGGTACACACTGACACGTGTGGTCTTATGAACATCCAAGCAAGAATACTCACGTTTTGGATAAGTTTATCTGATGCAACACAAGTCTTAAACTCTTGGTATTTTCTGAGAAGGTCAAGACTGATGTGGAGCACAGATTAGGTAAACTTATCAAGACACTTCGATCTGATCGAGGATATGAGTATTTCTTGGGATAGTGCAAAGACTATATGGTCAATGAGGGTGTTGTGTACCAGTTTTCCGCAATTGACGCTCAATGCATTGAGGTGTCAAATAGGAATAACAGAATTTCCGTTTAACATGGTTAGATCTATGAACAGTTATGCTACATTATCTCTTTCATTTAAGAGTTTAGCATTAATGACATTGATGCGCATTATGAACTGCATTCCATCTTAGTCTGTCTCAAGGATACCGTTGAGCTGTGTTTTTGACTAAATCTTAGTTTGAATCACATGCGCATATGGGGTAGTCTTGCACATGTGCGCTTGATATAGACAAGTAAGTTGGAAACAGATCATACGCATGATAGATTTGATAGCTACTCTAAAATGTCACTAGGAATGATTATTTTATAATCTCAATGATAAAAGTTGATTGTTTACACTCACTGTTTATCTATAGGAGAATCATATTATGAATCACATACCTAGTAGCATAGTGTTAGAGAATATGGTAAGAGTACCAGATGTACCACATATGAACACACTCTATATAGAGATTTAGAATTATAGATGAATTCCCTATTGATGCGTCAGTATCATCTAATACACAGATTCCTTCATCGGTACATTGATGTAGTGGGAGGATAATTATCCAATCCAACAGAATCATGTTTTTAGGTGAGACCGTTATGGACATCCCTGTTAAACATGAGTTGGACCCAGTAAGCTACACGGAAGCGTGAACCGATATGGATACAGATCGTTTTGGCGAGTTACTATGAAATCAGAGTTGGAATCTATGTATTCTAATAAATTCTGGGATCTTGTAGAACTTTCTAGTAGGGTGATTCCTATGGAAGGCAAGTTAATCTACAAAAAGATACCAGAAGATTTCTTAGTGAATAAATCATGAGTGTACAAGGGAATGTAATTATTTTTCTTAATTCTATATGTTGATGACATCTTACTCATTTATAATGGCGTGGAAGCTTTGTCATCAATAAAAAGGTAGTTGTTCAATTACTTTTAAATGAAGTATTTTCAAGATGTAAGCTATATTCCTAGGATCAAGCTTTTGCAAGATCAGGTTAAAAGGAAAATAGGCTTATCTTAATAATCCTACATTGATAAAGTTTTGACCAGGTTTGGTATGCATAACTCAAAGAATGAGTTCTTATTTTATTGATATGGATTGCTCTATCTAGTAATTAGTTTTCCAAGACTAGCAGAGGAGATGAGCAAATGAGACTGGAACTATATGCTTTGGCATATGGGAGTCTCATATATGCCATGGTCTATACCAAACAGGACATCCGCTACATTGTAGGGATAGTCAGTAGATATCAGTCTAATTCTAGACTTGATAACTGGTCTGTTGTGAAAAATATCATTAAGTACCTAAGGAGAACCAATGATATCATACTCATTTATGGATGTGATGATATGGTCCTAGTCAGGTATGCTAGTTCTGATTTTCAATCAGAAGTAGATACTATGAGGTTCATGACTTAGTGTATCTTCATTTAATGGAAGGGAAATCAGTTGGTAGAGTGTTAAGCAGATTTCAACTGCTGACTCAAATCTGCAGGTGGAATACATTGCAGCCTTAAAGGCGGCAAAATAAGCCTATTGGTTTGATCTCACTGATTTAGAGGTTGTGGAGCATACTAGCCTGCCTATCGAGCTATATTGCGATAATAGTGCAGAAGTAGTCCAAACCAATGACCCAAGATTCCATAAATGAACAAAATACACTGATAGGAAGTATCATGTTCTACATGATATTGTCCGGCAAGAAAATGTACTTGTGGCTAGAACATTGCATTGGAACACAACTTTGTTGATCCATTAACAAAGGTGTCATTGATCGATAAATTTGATCATCATCTGGATAACATTGGAGTTAGGTGCAATTTGAATTGGCTATGAGGGCAAGTGGGAGCTGTTGGGATTTATATGCCCTGGCATAGCAAATACCTATCTGGATTATAGTGACATATGTTCCTGACATATCTGAAATATTTATGATTTATATAATTGGTGAATTCAATGTATTATGTTTCGATTCACTATGAAATTGATATTATCCATGTAATTACAAGAAATATTTATATATATGTATGTGATGACAATCAATGCATGATATATAAATAGTAATTATAAATTGTTCATAATCGGTAATTATGGATGGACTCATAATTAATTAAGACTTGAACTGGATCCGCGTTAGGTTGAGATATATTGCGAGAGCCGTCGTATGCAATTACTCCCTATCACTGTCATGGCATTTGACTCTTAAGCATGAGAAAAGTATAGACTCTTTTATTAATTAATAATTACTTTAATTTGTTCGGCGGATTCTTCGGGATCCTTAGACCGACACTTTGGATAGTTATGTAATTAATAGTTAGAGGGTTATATTTTCAATATTTGCATCATTGCTACTTGTATTTATTTTGTATTGATTATGGTTGATCACAAAGTAAATTCGAAGGCCTTCGTGTGTTTTTAGACAAAATGATTTATTATATATTTATTTATTTAAATTATTATTTTTGTCAAACAAATGTTTTATTGTGATCAAGCCAGAAATAATCAAAGGTACCAAAATAAATATATTAATTAAGTAGTCGGATTGATGGCATTAATTATCCGATAACTAATTATGCATAGAGGGGTCAAAGTGCAATATTGACTTAGTGGTTATTTATTATTTAATAGGAGTTCAATTAATTTCTTTTAGTGGAGTAGAAATTAATTTATGAATTAATTGAATTGGGTCCATGGACCGGGCCAATTTTTAATTCATTGTAGCCAATAAAATAATAGGCCCAATGGATTCTCACTCATAGCCCAACTTGATATTGAAATCATATTAGATTTGAGACATGTGAATTAGAGATTGAGAAGGATTAGTTGTTTCCTTTTCTTTACCTTTATGTTACCTATAAATATACATGGTCTATGTATATTTTAGGTGTGATTTTTAGTAGAAGGAAAAAGGAATATATATTTTCTCTCTCTAGAAAATTAGGGTTTATGTTCTCATCTAATGGAGGCTCTCACAAGCCTAGTTTTCCAAGGTCATTCATGGAAGCTTATGAGTGATTCCTAAAGGCAAAACAATTACCAAGAAGATGGAGATTTATGAAAAAGGTGTCTGGCAAAAGGGATCTACAATAAGTGAGAACGTTCACTTTAGAGGAGAGATCTAAGGTTTACTCAAACCTTGATGTAAGTATTCAATCTTTTAATTGAATGATACATCATGTTTTATTTTTGCGTAAAACTTGTCTCTATGTGATGAATCAAGATCTATGAATTTAAATCTCTCGAAAAGTTTTTAAAACTAGCACGTTTCCCAACACCCATGCCATCTCCCTTTTTTTTCAAGACAACTCGTCCTTCTCTCCCTAGTGTTCATCGTGTTCTCTTCAACTTCTGACAGCCTTTCCCATCTCTTATTTTTTGGTACGTGTATTTTCCATTATTTTTCGGCTATTACTGGCTATTACATCTGCAATCTTTTTATTTTCCATTTTTGTTTTATTTTTCTTGATTGATCCTCAAAAGTTCTTTATATATCAACATCAATTTCATTGCCGCAGATGAGTAAGTAATTGTTCTTCAAATTCGCGTATCAAGAGAAAAAAAGAAAAAGAAAATAACTTATCCACCTATATTATTCTTGATTGGTCGTCTAAATATCTACATTCCATAAACTACACATATTACTATTGATTGGTAGTCTAAATGTCTCTCTCTCTCTCTCTCTCTCTATATATATATATATATATATATATATATATATATATATGTCTATGATGATGGGGAAGGAAATTCAATTACGGGAAAAAAGCATGGTCGTGACAGCGGACAACCAAACTAGGTAATATATGTGTGTGTGCGCGCGCGCAATTTGATTTTCAAATCAACAACCCATGTACACATTTATTTGATTCTATTTTTTGTCATGTGTCTCATATTTTATGGAAACTATCTAATTAGATAAAATATCATCTCAAAATTAAAAAAAAATGACGGGCGCAATTTGATTTTCAAATCTGCAACTCATGCACACATTTATATTGTTTTTCAATTATTATTATTATTATTATTATTTTGTTTGGCTTCTGATTTGAACAATTCTACATTTGTCATGTTAGTTGATATGGTTTGATTTTTATTTATTTTTTATTTTTATTTTTTTTTATGTACACCATCCCTCTCTTTAAATGAAATCTTGACTCAGTCGCTGCATATAAATGATAAATACATATCTTAGAACTCCACCATCCACCTTACAAAGCATACAACTATATATACATTTCTTAACATACAAACCTGTAAATTTATTAATCAAATTTTGTTTCAGCCCAGTTCTTCCTGCGACCCACTTCTAATCTGATAATCTGGCTTTGCCTTTGAAAAAAAAAAAAATCACCCAATTTTGTCTTGCAAATATGGTGGAATTAGATTCTAGTCTCTATTAGGTTTTGTAGTATGGTATGAGGAAAGACGAAATAGAGTTTGAAAGACAAGATTTTATTCATTTCTTTGCATAGTGATCTTTTTTTGCCAATTTCCACTTTGAACGCAGATTTAAATACCTAAGTTTATCCTTGTTCTGTTAAATCTTGCAGGTCATATTAAATTATCCTACCGAGTACCTCGTGTCAATATCAGGGTACATAGGGTCCTATCTTAATACACATCGTGTTGTGACATCTATTACATTACAAAGCAATATAAGAAAATATGGACCATATGGTAAGGAGGAAGGAACGCGTTTTACAAACCCGTCAACTTCTAGTAAGATTGTTGGATTCTTTGGAAGGCAGGGTGATGTTGTTGATTCGATTGGAGTGTACATTATGCCAATCCCAATCCAAACTATAATACCTAGTGTTGGTCCATTTGGAACTACTGGTGGACAGAAGTGGGATGACGAAACCTACAACACCATAAGGGAGATAAGTATACACTCCGGATTGTTAATTGATTCCATCCAAGTTGTCTATAACGATACTAAAGGACAGCCAGTATTGGGCGAAAAACATGGTAGTACCGGTAGACAACAAAATACGGTAATATATATATATATATATATATATATGCAATTTGATTTTTAAATATGCAATGCACAACTTAATTATATTTTATATTTCTCTTACCTCCTATGTTTTGTGAAAGATTACTAGCTAGACAACATAATAATAAAAAGAAAAAGAAAAATAAAATAGAAAGGAAAAGTCCCAATGGTTCGCCAAGCATGATACTGAATCTAGCACAAAATCCACGGTCAGGTATAATTTGTCATTTAATACATTATAATAGAAACAAATTTTTCCTCTTTTTTGTTGAAGATTTTAACACTCAATCTATCATTTATACAAATATGAATGCCATAACATACTTACCAATTTCTTTTTACTGATATAATTTATGTAAGTCAAATTAGACTATCCGGGTGAATTTTTGCTTTCAGTTTGGGGGAACTATGGACAAGTTGATAAAATGGTTGTTATCCGGTTACTTGGATTTCAAAGCAACAAAGGAATATATGGACCATTTGGTGTGGAGGATGGAGAGAAATTTGAATTCCCACCTGATACTTGTGGCAAAATCATCGGATTTCATGGAAGGTCTGACAAGTATCTTACTGCAATTGGAGCATATTACGACAAGTGAAAATTTAGACGTTGATCATGAACCATCTTTTTCTCAACTTTTAATCATTAATTATTTAACTGCATTTGCATTCGATGTAGTTACAATAATGGATGATGCTCTGGTTGTCCTTAATGGTTGGTTAAAGTGGTTAAGGCAACACAATTAAACTTGTGTCTTTGTGTGTGATTTCAAATAATTTTTTTTTGTTTTCTTGTGTCCTAAGAAAGTTTGGGTTGGTTATGTATTTTGTGAAATTATGTTAATTTAGTGGTAAGATGTCAGATATTATTTTTGGTGTTTCTTATAATAAATGGATGGTTGTATTTGCAAAAGAAGAATCTTATACTACGTTTGATGTGTAGGAATGGAATGTCCATTCCAACTATTCATTTGTTTGGTATTCAATTTAAAGTGGGAATGAAAATCCATTTCTCAACTAAACCTATGAAATGGCCATTCCATTCCCAAGTAATTTTTTTTTAAATAAATTAACTTCCTAAAAAAACCTTATGTTTCAAGTCCAAAAACTACCACTACTTTCCACCACAACCACTTTTGCCTTTCACTGCCACCACAACTGCCACCACCACTGCCCACTACCACTGCCCACCATTTTCCATCACCACCACTGACACCACCTTCCTTTGCCCCAACAAAAAAAAACCACCACCACCGCCCCCACCTTTCACCACCGCTACCAACGCCTTCCACCACCACCACCACCATTGACACCGCCTTTCACCACCACCACCATCAACGCCTTCCACCAACACCACTTCCACCACCGCCTTCCACCACTACCACTGATGAGCGCTGAAAAGTGCGTATTTAAACCCCTTAAGCTTAGGCATTCTAGTACCTTTATCTATCTTACTTTACCATTTTAAATTGATTTCGTATTATTTCCATTTTCAGGCACTTATCTCAAAAATAAGCTAACTCAGCCAAATAAGAGCTTAATTGAAGCAATTCTGGGATTAAACAAAGAAAGGAGCAAAGTGGAGAAAGAAGGAAACAAATGAAGCCAAAGGTAGGAAACAGCAAAATTTGATGGGTCCAACTTCAAGGTTCGATCGATCGAACACTGATCGATCTTAGCACTTCAAAATAGATCCAAGCCTTGACCCAAAGCAAAGAGTCTAAAGTTCGATCGATCCAATACCACCCTTCGATCGATTGAACACTTTTGTCCTTATTCAAATGATTGATATTATCCACAGCTGTACCACCCACTAACCACTTTTCTCCTTTTCCCAAAAATATCTCCCAAAATATCTCGGATTTGTCTTTTCCTAAAAAGCTCAACCAGTTGGATCGATCCAGCCTAAGTTCGATGGATCTCAGCCACTTCGATCGATCCAAGTCTAAGGTTTGATCGATTGAATTTCCTCTAGTGCGAAAAAGTAAAATGTCCAGCTTGTTTAATCCATCCTCTATCCAATCATTAGAGAATATTCTTTGCACGACCCCAGCTCATTTTGTGTATCACTTGACCTACCTATAAAAGGAATATGATGCACTTTTTGAGACATATACAATTCTAGGGTTTATTCTCTTGGAGGGCAAGTTTAAAGGAGGAGGAGGCTAGAGACACCATTGGAGACTCTTCATCAACCAAGGAGCAAATCTCTTCCATGGAGTTAGCCCTTGAGGGTTGGAACAACATCACTATGAGTAGGTAGACATCCTCTTGGGGCTAGAGTTAGCCCCAAACATGCTTTCTATATCTTAATCTTGTGTATTATTGAGGGATTAGTGTTGTAATTAATGTTTTAACACTTTGATATATATAGATCTTGATTGTTCAATGATTTGTGTGGTTAAATGCTTTCAATTGATCATTTCATTCTTTCCATATGTCTGTGTATGCTAGAATAGATGTTCATGTGCTTGTCTCTAGATTTTGTGTTATTGATTCATGTCCATGTGTATTGATGCTATAAATTTAGAGATTGTCAAAACATAGTGCTTAAAGGAATGCTCTTGTGATTTTCTTGATGGTTCATACTTATTCCTTGATGGATTGTGCCTCTCCCTTAGTTTATTTTCATGCTAGTAGTGTAAATGTAGTGTAGTTGTAGTGTAGTGTTAAATGGAAGGACAATTTATGTTTATTGTTTAATGATCCAAGCTTTTGAGTGCAAGTAGCATATGTCTCTAACCTTGTGTTATATTTGGATTGTGAGCTTAATGAAAGGATTAATGACTTGTTTTGATCTATTGTGCCTTTCACATGTTGTTTAGACAATATATGCTTCATTGCTTAGATATATTGTGCCTTTCACGTGATGTTTAGACAATACATGCTTAACTAGTCATCCTTACTTGTTGAATCAACCAAACACACACATACCAATATTGCAACACACCATTTGCCCTCATGAGTCACTTGTTAACGGTATAGAAATGCATTACTTAGTGGTGATTTCTAAACCCCAAGACTCTTCTCTCTCTTACTTACTCTTAGTTGCATTATTTTGTTATTACTTAATTTAATCTAGTTGTTTTCTAATCAACCAATTGTTTGATCACTCGACCTACTAGCCCTAATAGTGATTCCACAACATTGTTCGATCCTCACAATCCCTTGGGACGATCCCTACTTGCCCTAGCTATATTTTTAGTGAAGGTAGTAGTGGCTTCTATAAATGTAAAACTTTTGACCCTCGCCTTAATGCACACTCTCCAAGCTTGATATGGTGTAGCGACCCTCAAAAAGGAGGATCGATCAGCCACCACCACCACCGCTACCTACACCACCAACATTGTTGCCGCCGCCTTCCACCATTGCCACCACCACCGCTTTCCAACATCATTACCGCTTTCCACCTCTACCATCACCACTGTCACCATTTATTTTAAAAAAAAATTATAAAAGAATGTCATTTTGTTAATTTTATTTATTTGTTACTAAGAGGGATACTTTGTAGAACTTAATTTAAAATTTATTCTATTATAAATTTTTAATTGGTCTAACCAAACACTAGAATGATTATTTGCATTCCATTCTACACATTTCATATTTATAACTAAACAATAAAATGAGAATAGTTATTTCATTCCATTCACATTCTTATTCCATTCCCACTTACATTCCATTCCATTCATGCATACCAAACACAACATTATTGGTTTTGAAAAATTGGATGCTCTCAATTTGGTTTTAGTATATGATTTGATAAATCAGATGACATCAAACTACATTTTAGATTGATAGGTTGAAAATCTTTGCTTTAAACAAGATTGGGAACCGATATATATATATATATATATATATATATATATATATATATTAGTATTTTATATTTATTCACTTACCAAACATATTTTTATGTTTTTACTTTTTAAAATCTTACAACAAACAGACGTTACGAAACAAGTTTCAAAACAGTATTCAACACATTTTAAAGCAAAAATTTACTTCTGCTTCGGGTTAAAACAAAAGCACAAAACAACTATGGTTGCCAAACGGGCCCTTATTGTTTTCTTCTTTTTGTATTAAATACCTATAAAAATTTAAAATTTCCCCCATTATGTTATTAAATTTTATTTTATTTTATTTTGAGAACGACATTCACTCTTTTATTATTATTATTATTATTATACTCTACTTTTTTTTTTTTTTTCTTTCTTTAGAAAACATGTATCAGTCCTACAACACACACATTATTTAAGTCAGGAGCACGGTTCGAAAGCGAGACTTCAAGAACTTACCTCCAAAATCTCTGCCAACACTACTTTGTCTCTGGGCTATTATTATGCTCTACTTGTTCTATCTTTTAAGTGTTAATTGTATAAAACTTTAAGCATATCATAAAATGATTTGCATGTCACTGTTTTATACTAAAATTTTAGCAACAATTACCTTAAAAGACCAAAATTTTGAATATCCTCTTCTGTCGCGTCATTGTAATGAAATAAACAAAGAAAAATCCTACTTTACCCTTTTAAATTAATGGCATGAAACCATTGGAAATTACTCCTATAAAAATCTACCTATTATTCCCTATTTTAAGAGGTGACAAAATTGACCTAATGAAAACTTGGTTTTGATGACTTCTCCAGAACCGCTTTACCTTTAAAATAAGCAGCCGAGGGCAAGGACGGATGTGATACCCCTCTGATCCGAGACACGGGTTGATCAGGCCCAGGCCTAAACCCCAAGGAATATAAAACAATTTAAGTATTTTAAAGCAAACACAGATGACAAAATGAAATAATAAAGATAGAATAAAGCTGAAAGAAATATTAATTATAAAACCCTCCATTTATAACTGAATAATAAAACTCCAGTCCTCCAAAACTTTAAGGTTACAACTTGGGAATCCACTGGTGGACCTCTAACCAAAAGTTCAACTGAAACTAAAACTGAAAATAGATAATGCTAGAAACATCGAGAGAAGTCTTACGTAATCAGATGAATGTGAGACTGTCCTCGAAAAACATGATCAAACTCTAAGGCTGGAACCGTCCTGTACCTGAAAAAAATAATAGAAGAGTTGGTCAGGCCCACGAGCAAGTTCTAATATAACTGCAATCCATACAGTAACCCGATACGTAAATACACCGTAGACACCTCACAATATCTATCTAGTCCATACATATAAATATATCCACACTAAGGGACATTCACTGGTCTATAATAGGGGACTTAACCTGAATAGAAGGCAACATGCGAGTATGCACCCAAAAGGTGGGCATAAGTACCTAGACCTAACAGGATACACCTTAACCTATTATAACCAGCTACGCATCCACTGCATATACGCACCCTAACCAACGAGTCTGAGACTCAAGCTTAACTCATGGTACCATAAATATATATATAAAGTCCATCCAAATCCGGGGTATGTAGTTCAACCACTTATTAAACTGATATACAATAAACCAACTAGTTAGTCACTCAACTTATTTAGTTGATATGACTTAACTACCATCCATTAATCCAGGAAGTCATCCAACTTAGTTGCAGTTGATCTAACTGATTCACAATTAGGATTCAATATCTTTCAATCCAT